TATTAAAATTATTAATTTTATAAAAATAATAATAATAAAATAAATAAATAAGATAAATTATAATAGTATAATCACACATTAATTTTTATTTTTAAATAAAATACAAAAAAATTTTAATCTTTTCATCTAATTAATAAATTTTGTTTGTTAAGCTAATATATTCTTTTATGATAAATTAATATAAAAACCAAAATATAATAATCATTTAATGTTATTAAAAACAAAAAATAAAGTTAAAACTAATTAGATAAATACTAATTAAAAATTGTAGTCAAAATTAAAAATTAAAAAAGATAAATTTATTAATAAAATTAAAAAACTCCAATCTATTAGCTGTTTAGTGCAAAAAGCTATCTTAAATAGTTTTTTTTTAAAGAAAATGATTTTTGTATAACTTTTTGTCTCACATTTTTGTATAACCTAACATATCATTTAAATGATTAGTTTTTTTAATTCATATGGGACCTATGAAATTAAATGCATCCACTCATTTAATGATATGTGAAAGTTGCATAAAAATGTGGTATAAAAAAGTTATCCCTATAGCATCACCATTTTTCAATTTGTTAACTATTTAAACTCTAATTATTATCCATTAATTCCTAACCAATAAATAAAAACTTTTATCAAATATTTAGTTTGTAACGATTTTAAAATAAATAAATTTATCAAATACTTATATTTAACGAGTTGGATAAAATTATTAACCATTATCTTCAAACTACTATACCAAACATGCTCTAAATGAAATAAATTAAAATTTATTTACGTAAGATTAGACTTACTACCCGAGATATTAAATAACAACATATACATCTATGTAATTTTCACATAATTTTTAAAATTTTAAAAGTCTGAATACGTGGCCGGTTAACTTGCCACCTAGGTACTTCGGAGTTACATCAACGGAAGGACCAATTTGGTAACGGGTAATTAAACTTTAAGGATGATTTCGGTCATTTTTTAAGTTCAGCTATAAACATGTCCAAAACTGAAAGCTAAGGGACCAAATTGGAAATTTAAACCAAAGCATAAAAGGGCCTAATATACCTATTTTACCCTTATATCTTAATAAATTTACGACTAAAACCACTATATATACCTCTTCATTTATAATCCAAACCCATTTTCTCCTTACCTGCCGATTTCTTGTACCTCCTCGTTTATACCCCAAACCCTTTTTTTCCCTTCTCCATCTCCCGATTTCCTCTATTCCAGACCATTTACCGTTGCTTCCATCTCCTTCTTTCAATCTCTTTTCTTCTTCATTCTCACCCAAAAAGTACTTCTGCTTTGCTTATCCTGATCTTGCTGCTGTATTGAAGCCCAATTTCTGACATCAATCCTAGATCTAGTGGTGTGCTCAAACCCAATCGGTAAGTATCTCCTTCTTTGGGTCTTTTTTTCTTCTTCATTCTCACCCAATTGGAACGATTTACCTTATCCTGATCTTTCTGATCTATTGAAGCTCAGTTTTCCTACATCAAATCCCAAATCCAGTGTTGTGCATCAATCTTTAACCGGTAAGCTTCCAGATCGAGTGGTGTGATTCCAAAATGATGATAATCTCCCTCTTTTATTAATTTATTTAATTCTGCGTATGATGTTAGAAATGTTAAAATAAATGTGGTAGATTATTTGGAGGAAGAGGAGTGCTAGGGGCCACGTTAAACCCCCAAGCAAGATTGGCGTCCTTCAATTTTATCTTTGTTTTTGCTTTTGATCGGCTGAATTTTCAGAGTGCATCTCCAATCATGTTGTCCCTTTGTTTCTAACTTTCTTTCCATCAAAATATCTAGATAACTCTATCTTTCCCTGTAATTTTCCTTTCCTGCAGAAGTTTTATATTAAATTCATTAATTTTAGATTATATATTCTTATTTAACTTTGAGAAAAAAAATAATTTTATTCATCATTGTGTTTGTTTTATAAATTTCGTAAGGTACAAGGTTTTATAGAATCTATTGAAAAACATATAAAGAAAAAGGTTAGAATAAGGTTTACCATACCGGGATATTATATATTGGAGAAGTACCTTGAAATGATTAATTATTTTGTTGGTGGACCATTTTCCATTAGGTTAATAAGTGGTTTTGGACAATGCCATTCTGGTTGTTGATGATGAGCGCATTTTCAGGATTCTTTGGACTTCCACATCAATGATTGCTTCTTATTTTTTGCTTTCTTCTTTTGGCTGCTATATGCTACTTTGTCTTGTGAATGATAACTATAATAATGAGTGCTTTATAGCTTAACACAACCCCACCAAGTACATTTGATGCATAATTGATTTGATGACTAATATATCAAACTTGAACTATCTAAAAAATCTGTGATTTTTGCCAAGAAAAAAGGAATTGTCTCAAGGATACGTGGAAAAAGGAAATTAACTGTTTATTAATGCTCTGCTTTAATTTCTTGGGAATTTTTATTTGTTTAAAGAAAAATTTTTATTATTGTCACCTGCAGACTGTAATTTGATTGTTTTTCTATATAGTGTAGTCTTATTTTCGTTTTTATTTGTTCTTATATTGCCACCTTCTAAGTATGTGTTAAGATTGTTAATGTTACTATTATTAATATTGTCAAGTTTATATTTTTCTAACGCCTGAATATATAATGCTATAATATCCCGAGTAACGTTCCTCAATTCTTTTTCGTATAATGCTATAATATCCCAGTCTTGGCCTTAACTTTGATGCATGTAGTTGTGTGATCCCAACCCCTTTTTTTTCAGTAAATTCTGTTCTTTCTGATGGACTGATACATCATCTGAGAGATGCACAAGCTGACTTTTCTTGTTCTGATGCATTTTTCTCAGGAAATTTGAATATGAAATGATAATGCGATTGTGGGAAGTCTTATGGACACATTATCTATCAGAGCGCCTGCACCTGTATGTGTGTTGCAATTTTGAAGCGCCATCGCAGCAAGATACTGGGAGAGCAAATGGACTTCGACACCCTTTTGAAATTCATTAATTGAGTTGAGCGATCATATTGACCTGGATGCAATCCTCCGAGATGTAGAAGCTTTGTGCATATGTGCTGGAGAGAATGGCGCTGCATGCATACCACCTGGAACTCCACCTT